TATATATATATATATATATATATATTACATTATTCAATACAAATAAGAAAGCCTAAGCCTATAATAAGCAATGTAATCAGTCATATTCTTAATTCTGTGACAACACAACTGCTGTAAACTGCTAACTCTTTTTTGGTTTTTCACTTGTAATTACGACCATCAGTTCTTAAACGATTCGTAAAAGCCGAGTTAAATGTATGCATGTTCGCACGTACGTATATAGACCCTGGTGCTTATAAATGTGTATACTCGATTATCTTAGATTGAGATCGATATGGTGGTAGAAGAGAAGGAAGGAGAGAGGATAAGCAATTGTGCTGCCAGCTTAACTCGCGAATTCATTACTTCATGCAAATATGCGTGTACGTATGTGTGTGTGCGTATGTCTCTACAATGTTATTCAGAATGTATCTGTCTGTGTGCATGTGTATGTGCGTGTGTGTGCACTTGCCTGGAAAGGTGTCCATTTTTGTATGTATTATGAAAACTGTGATTAAAAAATATTGCCGGAATTGCAATAATGGTGTAAACCTACTCCTTTTCAAAATATTTACATTTTGCATTGCTAACATTTAATTTAATACAAATTTTCAGTAAGCTTAATTGGCATGAAGCTGTTTCGTGCATAATATTGGGTGAGCTTGATCTCTTACGAACTCTTTTCTAAATAAATAATGCTAAACGCTCGATGAATAAATAATTCATAAAGTAAATTTAATTTATCGATTAAGTTCCGAGTTCTCAATTGCACAAACTTCTTCCCACTGGGCAAATGCTTAGATAAGCTGTTGGTAATATTACAAATTTGTACAGTTTGAAGCATGGAGCAATTTGTTGGAGATGTAAAATAGTTCGCTGATTTGGAAGTCTGAGTAAGATGTTAAATCTAAGGTAATCTGCCGGAAATAGCTGCAGTAATAAATTATGTTTACTAGTAAAACATATGGCTGAATGAGTTTTGCATTCAAAGTGATAAAGTTACAGAAAATTTATTCGTTTACGATCGTTCTTTTTTGCAATGGGAAATGTATCGGTAGCAAATAAAATAGTAACGGTAGTATTCGAGTTATGAATGTTAATAGTGCGTGAAATGGGTGGTGAGAAACAATTCATTACCATCAATTTCACTGTGTTATTTTTTTGTTCTGTACAGAAAGTAGTGGTTGCTGTGCACATTTTATAATATCGTTGGAAATAACTGCTCGCAGAATAGCATAGAGAACTGTTCAGTGCGATGAGTAAAGAGTTGTTACAAAAAATGTTGAATACCAGCAGCCGTCCACCTTAGTAATTAAAATGAAGTAAAAGTAAGAAGGATATTGTGTGAATTAATTTTTTCCTAAACAGTACCATCATAATTATGCGATATCTTATGATGTCGATAATTCTATTTTCTGCGCATTCAGCGCATAATTATTCGGATAATTCAGATAGCTTACTTTTGAATTTTATCTCATTGCTATCTGTGTGAGGTACAGAAATGTGTACAGTTTTCAGTATCTTTGTAACAAATTAATATCTTTTAAATTGATAAGAATTTAATTTATTTATAGTTGATAGTAAGGGATGGATCTGTTTTTGGTACCATCATTTGTTTCAACGGAGATATATGCTATTTATATATATTGTATCGTGTATATTGTGAAATTTATTTTGATTCATTACTTTTGTACTTTGCTAGTAAGCAATTGTTTATGAAAACTAGCAGCAATGTTTGTTTCAGTTCAACGAGTGTTGATTGTAATGGACAGAAGTTAGAAGTTTTCAGTATTACTGTAATCCTTGCTTAAACTTGTTTGTTCCTTTGATCTGGCAGATACAATGATTAAAAATTTTTATTCACCAACATTCCTGTCTTACTTTTGTTTCGTGGAAATGGGAACAAGTTGAATATTCAAATTAGAGTATATAATGTTTTTTTTCGATATTTGCTGATTTATTAAAGATACTGTTTTAGTTGAGCAGCATTGCACATTAGTGTTCGTAGAAAAGTAATCAATTTTAAGGAATCAAAGGCTTTTGTTTTATTGATTATAGTTCTTGCGTCTTGAATACATAATATTGGTATTGATAGCAGTAATAATACAAATATTGGCAAGTTTCACTTCATTTTTTGTTTTTTCTTTCCCAAGAGAGAAATTTAATTCTTCAAATACCAGGCTCTCTTTGCATATTCTTGGCAATATTGATCGCGACGGTTTTACAAATACTTGAAGAAAACTAGTAAAATGCATTAATATCTGTTTTTCTGAGGGAACTTACCTGACGTTCTTTACAGAGCTTTTATTGGTGGCAAAGAAATCGACAGCAATATGGATATCTGTTATTTTGACAGAAATAAATATTAGTTTATTTCTGTCAAAATAACAGATTTTCGTATTCTTATCATTTGCAGTTAACTGCTTGCATAAAAGCACATTCTTTAGTCATTGAGTGGAATTGAGATCAGACTATGATTTTAGTTTTATTTTGTGGGAACTGCTCTTAGTTGGGCATCTCTTCCTTATATTACCTTAAATAGCCTATGAAATAACCGAGAGAACTAGTAGGCAAAGCAGCACGTTGCAATTTCCATTTGCAGCAAGTAATGACTTGATAGCATGCAAGAATAAATTTGTGTATTAAAAACATTTGGTCTGATTGAGTGCAAAGTTTAAGTTTTGTTTCTTCTCAGATTTTCAGGCGTGACATTAGCTGCCATATAACTGATGAGAAGGGAAGATAGTTGCTAGTGTGGTTTTGTCTGATTATTAAGTTCAGATAAATAAATGGTCATGCCTTCTACTCACTATTACACAGCATGCCGATATGAGTGGAACAGTAAGAAAAATTAGGCGAATAAAAAGTTTTGTGTTATAATTGCTTTAGTGATCGCTTTAGCGTGGTCATGATGATTACTTTAAATGATATTAAAGGCAGTGATCAAGTAGAGAGGAAGGTGAAGAAGGTTAAAAGGGAAATGACAGGGTCACAGTTAAGATTGTTACTTAGTATTTGGTTGGTTGACGCAGACTGATAATTTATCAGTCTGCGTCAACCAACCAAGTACTATCTAATTAATTTAGGAATGATTGCTACGGTCAGCGAGAAGAAATTAATTGATAACAGGATGATTATTTATGAGTTTCTTATTTTCTTGCAAATTACCGGTTCTTTTATATTGCTCTTTATTTCATTTAATTATTAATCGTAATTTCATATCATGGTTCATTATTATTTTTGTTATTTATTGGTTGCTATTTATTATTTACTGTTAATATTTATTAAAAAATGTCTTTTGCTTGCTTGTATAGAAAAAAGTTGTTGAGAAGCAGAGTTGTTGCTTGGCTATTTTAAGCAAATTTTTCAACTCATTGCTAGACAAACATAATTATAGTAGTAGCAAGCTAGCCGGTAGTAAAATATTGTTGTTGTTATGATGGAATCATCTGAATCGCTTGCTAATTTAAGGTGCATTTTTAATACAGACTGCATTCAGATGCGCATAAATTGTTAATTAAGAGTGAAAAAAATAGCAGTGATTGAGTACTTTAATTGTGTAAAGGACAACTTAATTTCTCATCATTATTGGAATGAAATTGTTGTGTGAAGTAAGTATGTCTTTGTCTACTTATCGTTTAGTTCATAATTTGTGATCATGGAAAGCCTTGTTGGCACTCGTTGACATTAAAAATTTGGATTGTAGAATTAAATCCAAGGACAATTTGCATATTGGATGAGCGATGTACTAACTATGTATGGCAGATGCTTATAACGTGATCTTATGTATCTAAAATTGAGCCATTTGAGCATTGCAGCTGTTTCTCTTTAATCCTTTTTAGGCAAGCCTTAACATTCGCTTTCTAGAGCCTAGTACTTGGCTGATGATTCATACTGCTGGCATTTATTGATGACATGGAGGATTACAAACGTTAGCATAATTTTTCTTGATGTTATACTGGTAATGAAAAGCAGCTCATTACTTTTTCACTTTTCTCGCCTTCTAAACTGACTGGCAGAAAATTATTGCTCCTAACTTTGGCACCCTTGCTTATGTAATTTTAGTTCTTTTCTCTTGATCATATTTGGAAAGAAAGTAATGATGCATATCGTAATCTATTCTTAGTTTTTGATTTTTTTTTCTCGTAAAATTTCTTTAATTATTTGTGATATGTTTTGAAAGCTTTTCTCGTACCAATGTGTATCATGCCAAGTTTTTTCACTGTTCCAACTAAAAGTTAATTGTATAAATGTGTTTTCGTCTCATTTACAGTAATGATAAATATTATTAGCACATTTGTTATATCTTAACAACATTCGTTTCTTTCTTTTTATCAATACTAGAAAGCAAAGAATGAGTTGATTTATTCAGATTTAGTTCATTTTCTCAGCTATTTTTCCGTAGTGTTTCTGCTTAGTTCCTGAATAAATTGTTGTTCTTGTAATTGAATTATGCAAATTTAGCTTTTCTCGACACATGAAATCTTGCAAATTGAATTGTATTCAAGAGATCTTCCTTTCTTGATTTGTGTAAACATGCAAGCAAAATTGCTGTAGTAAACACTTATTGCCAAATAAAGTGATTAAAAATTTATGCAAGTAAATACTATATTGTTGGGAATTTCGAAGTGCTATTACTATTTATCCACCTTCAATTATTTTGATTTGTTAGTCAAGTATGAGTAAAAGAAAAAAGTATTTATTTCAGCATGTTTGGAAAGCTTGTCATATGACTGGCACAGTTCAAATCCATGCTGTGAAAGTTTCAACAAACCGGCGGAAATGGACCGTCGACCATCCTCGGTTGATACATTTTTGGCCCACAATCTGCCTCATCACCAGCACCATCATCAATTCTCTCATCGAGAATCAGATTCTCGATGGTCTTCCAGGTATTATCATGCTTTAATTTTCTGCCTGCTGACATTGTAATAGCAAGTCTGGTAGCTTTTATTTATCCTTTAAGCTCTCTGAACATGTTTTTTCGTGCTTATTTGGATTTACAAAAGTAACTTCTACTATTTACTGCTTCATCATCCTTGTCTAGCATCTGCTAAAATTTTGAGTCGTATCACATTTTCTGTTTCTTAATTATAGTGATTGCATTATCTTTTAACACTTATTTCATTGCTTGAGAAAAGTTTGATTTGTCAGTAATAGAACTGTTCAAGCATTTCAGTGACTTTTTACTAACGGTATAAAGGGGAAATGACATTGATTAACATATTTAATAAACTTATTACTTGGTTATTCCAATATTTTACTTTCTGCTCGATTTGTCTGGACTTTGTCAATTTTTATGCTACAGAAATTTTACTCAAGTAATAAATCTTGTGCTAATTATCGCTAACGAAATTGTTGATCTAGATTTTACTTTGCTATGATATTTTGGCTTTAATGCTTCAATTTTTGAGCACTAGCAAATAAAAGGAAAAATTAATTGTTTAATTTGTATTCATCTATTCGGAATTCATTCAGTTATTTATGTACGCATCAATTCCTACTTTCTGCTTGACATAATTTTTATTCATTTGAGCATTCAGAATGTGAAATATATATTAGCAATTGACTTATTAGTATTTGAGCATTTCATGTTTCGTTGGATTTATGTATTTATATTTCTTATACTAAATAACTTTTTTCATTCCGAAGGCACTTTGGTATAGAAAGTAAATGGAAAAATTAAACTTTAATTTCGCGTTTCTGTAGGGAAGATTTACTAAATGGACCAGAAAACGGTGAAAATGATTCACTATTTGTTGCCCTATATGATTTTCATGGCGTTGGCGAAGAACAGTTATCGCTTAAGAAAGGTTGGATGCTGGTTATTTGTTGTTCAAATTTGATGATCTCGGAAATTATATCATAGGCAGAATGTATGAAATCAAAACGTAAAGATTTGCTTCTTGTTCTTTAGGATGATTTCCAAAGTACACTGTGTTGTTCTTCATGAATATTAGGTTTTAAACATATTCACAGGAAGGCGGATTAAAACGTTGTTTGGACTATCTTCAAAGTAGGGTTGAATAATGCAACCACTCTTCTACAATTTGTAAATCTACTATTCATAATAAAATATGGAAAGAAATAAATATAACATGACTAAGTCGGAGATTCCAAAGTACTCAATCATTACTAAGTATTTTGAGCGCATTTTTGGATGATGGATAATTTTTTGTGTTTAAAGTTAATATTTTTAAAGTAATCATATTTCAGGTGATCACTTACGGGTTATTGGACATAATAAAGCCGGTGAATGGTGCGAAGCACAGTTGGTAACTGTTCGACGGGAAAGTTCTAGGCGTACTTGCTGTATTGGTTGGGTACCATCATCTTACATCGCGCCTGCAAATTCGCTGGAAAAGCACTCGTGGTTTGATATCTCTGCAAGAATTTATTGAAATTCATCATTTCTGCTATGCCATCAATTTTAATATTTTAATTCAATATATAACGCGTTTTGTAGTTTATAAGGATCAATTTTACAGATAACTTTCTTTTCTCGAACATTTGTTTTCTGCGAATAATTGTTTAAATGAAGTATCATTTCAAGTAAACAATTATTATATGATTATTGAGTGAGTGTATTTGAATATGTTGAGAAAATATGTGTACTAATAAAGAGATGAGTGCAGTATTCTTAACGTTTGTAGTTAGTATTTTAATCAGTTGTACAGAGGACTATTTATTTAGGTACCATGGTAAGGTAAGTCGAAGCGAAAGCGAGTACTTATTAAGTTGTGGTATAAGTGGCAGTTTTTTGGTGCGTGAATCTGAAACTAGCATTGGGCAGTTTTCAATTTCGTTAAGATACGATGGTCGTGTTTATCATTATCGGATTTCTGTGGATCGTAATGATTGGGTACTACTTACGTAAATTGTGATTCATCACTGACTTTTTAATAATTTCAGTAAATTTAAACTTTTTACTTTAAATTTTATAAAAATTGGCGCTAATATAACAACTCAGATGGTATCATAGGATAAGATAGTGACTGAAAGACTTGGTTGATAGGTGAACGCATATTGATTAATTTTTATGTACAAGTAATTAATCCTCTTCTGATAACTAGTTCAGAAATTCTGCTAATGCTGAAGAAATCAATCGTCTTTTTCGATCTGTTTTTGCAGTGCATCGCTGATCTTATTTTAAAAAATACTAGATAAAAATGAGATCAACAATGCACTGTAGTAAAAACGTTAGCGCTATTTATACTTAAATATAAGTAATTAATTTAATTCAGTTTGTGTTTCATTTGGTGCTTCTTTGTTTATTTTTGATATTTAAAATTGAATCATATTTATGCAGTTCTTCAATATGATTCAACTTTAAATATCAAAAATTAACAAAGAAGCACCAAATGAAGCACAAACTGAATTAAATAAAACATAAACTGAATAAAAAAATTTATTAATTGATGTACGAATATCATGTTTACTTTTATTAAGCATTTTATTTTTGTAAGTAAGTCAAGTTTTGGTGTACATCGAAAATTGGTAAGATGATTTAGATGCAATTTCAATATAGATTGATTATTCAAGATATGTGGTTCTCATACTTTCGTCAATATTTTTTTCATTAAGTTATTGTCAATAATGCAAGTATTAAAAACCGAAATTTTTCAGTTATACATAACACAGGAGAGTAAATTTAAAACTCTTGGTGAATTAGTTCACCACCATAGTGTTCACGCAGATGGCCTTGTCTGTACATTACTTTATCCTGCACCTAAGAAAGAACGTCCACCAATGGTATTTTCATTGTCGCCTACTCAACCAGATGAATGGGAAGTAGATAGATCGGAAATTATAATGCGAAGTAAACTTGGTAAGTAGTTTTTAAAACATTTTTATTATCATTAAATTTTGATTTAAAATTATTATACTTACTCGACTATGATCACGACATACAGGTTGTGTTTTTTAATTTTTCATCTGCTCTTTATTTGCGATTCTATTTCATTTCTTCAAGTTTCGTGCTCTATTCAAATTATTAAATAGGAGGTGGGCAGTATGGTGACGTTTATGAAGGATATTGGAAGAAGCATGAAAAAGTTGTCGCTGTGAAAACTTTAAAAGTAATTTGATTTTCCACTGTTACGTCAGATATTGTGTAAATATTTCTACTTTGTTGAAGATGATTTGTTTGATTTCTTGAATATTTATGTGCTACGCAATTTTACTTGATTGTATCATTATAATTTGGATGAAGAACTTATTGTTGTGCAGATAAAATTCGAAAGCATATATTTGCATCAATTTTTTGTTGAATAGATAGCAAAATATGAAAGCAATTTCAGGAAGAAGCAATGGCACTGCATGACTTTTTGGCTGAAGCAGCAATTATGAAGGATTTACATCACCCAAATTTAGTACAGTTGATGGGAGTATGTACTCGTGAACCACCTTTCTATATTATCACTGAGTATATGAACAGAGGAAACTTACTTGATTATCTCAGGTTTCTTGAAAATATTCACCATTAATCTTGCTGTATTAATTTCGTTGTCAAAAAGCATACTAGATGTTAGCAGTCTTTGAAGTTTATCACTTTAATTTTACTCCAGGAATTAGTATTGTTTTAATTAAAGCATATTTTTCAAATAATTACATTAATCTATAATGTTTTTAGTGTATTTTTTTTCTTATGAGAACTAATTGCACTTTACAAATTTGATAAATTACCATTTGTCATAGTAGTCAATGCATTTATTAAATGATAACTACATAGTTATGATCTGTTGAATTTTAAGAAATTAAATATTGTATATTACTGAAAATAAATAATTGCAGAAGATGTGATAAGAAATTATCGCCTACAGTGCTAATGTATATGGCTACACAAATATCATCTGGGATGGCCTACTTAGAATCACGCAATTTCATTCATCGGTTAATTTTTTTTCGCATTTTATATGTTGTTTGGATTGGTCCAAGTATGTGGTTTTCCTGTAAAATTGGCATCAAAACAGTTATCTGAAAATTATGAAAGCATCATTAGTTTTTTTCATACTAAGCACCAGTTATTTGTGATTAAAATTAATGTCATGTTAAATTTAAATGGCAATTTTTTTACTTGCGTGTTTTTTAGCGATTTGGCAGCACGAAATTGCTTGGTAGCTGATGAAAATGTGGTTAAAGTTGCTGATTTCGGTCTCGCACGCTTTATGAGGGAAGATACATATACTGCTCATGCTGGAGCAAAATTCCCCATCAAGTGGACTGCCCCAGAAGGCCTTGCTTACAACACGTTCAGGTGCGTTCAGATTTCATGTCTAAAAGGCCATCTGTTTTAAATATTGAGCTATGCATCAGTTTTTATGTTGTTTTTATCGAAAAGTGGTTTTAAAAGAGGATACTTTTTAGTACTGACTGAGAGTTATTTTCCAATAATTTTGATTATTTCAGCACAAAAAGTGATGTTTGGGCATTTGGAGTACTTTTATGGGAAATTGCAACATATGGAATGAGTCCATACCCGGGAGTAGAATTGAATAGTGTTTATGGATTGTTGGAAAAAGGTTTCCGAATGGACGCTCCAGAAGGTTGTCCTCCATCAGTTTATCGTTTGATGTTACAGTGCTGGAATTGGTCACCTAGCGATCGACCTCGTTTCAAAGAAATTCATGCGAGTTTAGAATCACTTTTTCCTCAATCAAACATTGACGAAGAGGTTAGTTCATCCAGGAAATAAATGAAGTTCACAGTATTTCTTCATCTTGAACCTTTTGAAAAATTTCCAACAACAGTGCCTATTTATATATGTTTCGATTTTCAGGTTGATAAGCAGCTGGAACGTTCACGTACTTCATTGCATCGTCATAGTTCATCGTCGCATCGTGTTACTGTTGGTAATAATTGTATGAGTATTCCATCAGGAATTGTGCCAGTTGCATCACCACGCATTTCATGTGATGGAAATAGTGGTCTAGTAGCTTCTATCTCTTGCTCGACATCAAATACGTCATCTCTTCCACCACCAACTATTGAATTTCCACCACCGCCACCTCGAAATCAAGAAAATTATGTAGGATGTGCATCGTCAAATTCATCTACAGCTACACAATGCAGCAGTACACGGGAACATCGAGATATATCCAAGATAAAATCTGCACGACGAAATTTACCATTACCAGTACCTCCATTATCTGCGAAGCCAAAACTACAGAAATTAGGTTAGTTATGAATTTCGATGAGCGTTTCAAACTCAATATTTTCGTACTCTCAATCTATTAAATGATATGAAATCTGTATTCACTAGCTTTTTTGTTAAAGAAATTGGTCTCATATATTTTTAATATTGGGCAAATTACAGACAGCGCGTCATGTGATGTACTGGTTTCACCTTTAGCAGAGAAGAATTTGCGTAAGGTAGTTAATAAATTCGGTACTCTACCAAAAACTGCTCGAATTGATGCTTACTTGGAATCGATGTCATCGCAAGGAGATAGTGAGCAGTCACCGAATACTAATGGTGAATATAGTGGTGGCTTATCTGATGATTCTTTGGATGCTATTCCGGCTTCATATGGAAGTTGTTGGAATAGGTGGGATCAGAGCAGCCTTTCTATTCTTAAAATATTGGTCAACTCAAAAGTTTTGTTATCTGTTACTCTTACTATTTGGAATCTTTATCATTTGATTCAGAATCTGACTTTCACGAAGTTTTTGCTGTTCTGTCTAAATACATCAGGCTATTAATTGAGTTTTATTTACATGACAGTGCATTTCAGAAACATGTCGGATTCAATGAGCGAGAGTGTCAGTTTTGGCCAAAATAAATTGCTTCAGCAACTGAAACAGCGATTAAAGAAAACCAAATCTGAATCACCAGTAACTGCCACTCCTGCTCATACTGATGTTAATAATATGGCAAGTATAGATGAAAGACCAGAGCCGTCTATGGCTATGATTTCAGAAGTAGATCCCGGCTTGAAAAAGGTTCAATAAAAAGTGTTCAAAAATTGAATCTCCAATTAATTGTAGCTGTACTGAAAATTTTTTTTTGATTTGAATATGTTTCACTTATTTTTAGGCATTTTATTCTTTACATTTTGTATTTAATCCTACTCAATTTTTAGTTTTAAACTTGAAGATTTCTCAAAATAAATAGAGTAAAATACACGGTCATGTTGAGCTGCTATTGTTTTTGTTTTGTATGAAAATCATCTCAGGAAAATGGCATGCCAAAAACAGAACAGCAATGGGTGCAAAGAAAAAAGACAACTTCACGTTCACGTAAAAGTAAGGAGTCGTCTCGTGATGTTATTGAAGCTGCGAATGACAGAAGTATTATTTCAAAAGATGACAGAGATCAAGATGTAGGGGAAAACGAACTGAGAGCAAGAATACGTCAACTCAGACATGTAGAAAAGCGAAATTCTACAGAAAAACAACAAAAGTAACTTTTTGTCATGTATAAATACTATTATTCGTGAATTTAACGTTTTTCCACAGAGTGAAAAGTGCTTTTTAAGGCGAACAGGAGAACGACGTGATCTAGTTGGTGTCGATACAGCTCGAGTACGAACATTAATAACTCAGAAGGTAGCCCCACTTCAGCATCATCGTCCATTTTCGATGCAGCCAGATGCCCACAATAGTGAATCTCCTGATGATGATTCTAGTAAAGGTACTTTTTTGCTCATGTAGTTTGATGTCAAAGAAATATTCCGTTAATTGTTCATTGAGTTATAGAATTTGACATAGGTAAATAAAGAGGATTTTTCTCTTGAAACAACATGCCACGTTTTAGTATTAATACTCTAGGAACTGTTATTATTTCAAAGATTTATGTATTTTTAGCACCTGTACTACAATCAGAACGGTTAGAAAAGAAACCACTATCTCAAAGATCGGTAGCTAAGCCATATCCTAGAGCGTATTCCACATTGCAAAGATCAGTCAAGGTAAGTGCATAATTTTTTATCTCTTTCGAAAAAAATTACTGAATCAGCTGCTGTTTTATGTCTACGTGCCATCGATTATTTACCATTTACTGTATAATAAAATATTATAAATAATAATTTATAATCTTATTTTTAGTTTGGCAGTGAAGTTTCTATACTTATTCTTCCAAAATTTAGTTATTTAATTCCAACCTTTTTGACTCAAAAATTAGAACAGACTTCAAATTTTCAGGCCAGTTCTGTAATTTTACCTAAGAGAACTACTGGTAGTGGTAATGCAATTAAAAATGATGTGCCTGCAAAATTAAAACCAAAAATAAGAGGTCCTGCAGTACTTGAGTGCAGTGAATTGGATGAGATTGAGCTCAACAGCAGTATGGTGCGAGCTCACTCGCTCCGTGATCTCGCTTCCAAATTTGAAAAATTAGGAAATCCAGGTCTAATTGCACCATCTTCCAAAGGTAATTTCTAAATTGTCTCGATATGGTGTTGCTGAAATTGATGCTATTTTTTATATCATAGCGGTCGATTATGGAATTTTGTGAAGTAATCTCATCATGTATTTTTATTCTGATCACGTTGACGTGACCTGAAGAGAGTAGAGAGAATAGTTCTCAAGAGGCACTAATTTTAAGGGATGATGATGTCACCTGTATTATGTAGTATTTTGGAACTGCAACATATTGTTAAAAGCAAAGAAAATATTAGTCACTTTTTTCAAAGAAATGATACTATTCGTTTGTTCGAATAGTGTATGAAAATTTTTACACGTGACTGATATGATATAAATTCAGGAGCACTTCGTGGCAGCGAAAAACGGTATTCGATGATGGAGAATGTCGCTGGTACTTCTGATATAGCGGTTTCCAGCACCAGAGAAAATATTCAACCTATTGTTAGATTCTTTATTGTTATTTATTGTTTTCAGCCCTAGTTTGAAGTTTCATGTGATCATCAAAGTTGTTTTAGGATTGTTTTCAAATTTAAAATTGCATTTACGTTTTTTATATCTTCAATTTATTGATTTAAGGTAAGTCGAGACTCACTTCTGGACTTATACCGACGACTAGAAAGTTGTATTTGCGATTTGCGTAATGAAAGAATTAGTCGAGTCAAAAGTCATCAGTCAAATTGTAGTGATGGCCAACATGCGTTGTTGATTCGTTTAAGCGATCTAATGCAGCAGTTCCATCACATGTGCGCTATTTATGCGGAAAACATTTCTCCTCACTCGAAGTTCCGTTACCGGTTAGTTTTTTTTTTAATTTTATTAAAAAAAGATCTGGTTTTTTAGCGCATTACAGGGCTGAATTCAGTCATTAGTAAAATCATATGTGTATGGTGCTCATGCTGAAGATTTGTCAAAATAGCTTAGTCATAAGATTTGTCAAATAGCTTTTGTCCTGCAACATCCTTGGGAGAAATCACAGAACACATTTAATGATACGAAGAATGCTGATACATATAATTTGATTGAATTTTATAGTTTTGTACTGTAAAATTAGCAAGCAAAAAAAATTAGTCAAAAGTTATTGAGCTTGATTTGATTATTTTAATTTTTATCTTGAAAATTTGAAGTGAGCTTCTAAATCGCATGGATGTATTTATTCGACAGTTACGGCAGTGTGCTTCATCATCATTGTCAAACGAAGTGGTGCAAGCTGAACAACAAGTCATACCTCAATTTGAGCAGACAATCCGTCAAATTATGCATTTAGTACAGAGGTAATATATGTTTACATGCTGTCTGTTTGTTAAATGATTCCAACTGTTAATTTTCTTTTCGCTGTGTCTTTGTTCGGCGTTAAATTTTTATGGATCTTTGTGATATTCGAATTTATGAATATACTGGTTAGATGCAGTCAAAATCGTAAGCAATTAGATTGTAATTCTCTCGGTTGAATGAAAATTTTAAAATTTTTTGCTTTTCCTCGATCTAGAGTTCTTTCAGTATGAGTTATATCATACAATGCAATCACTTTGAAATCCAGTGAGTAATTAAAGCAGTTACAGAATTTAGTGTTAGAAAGTACTAATTTCCTTTTTGGCAAATTACGAATTTCAGGGACTTTTTTAGAGTGATTGGAGACAGTTTCAGCGTATTAATTTTATGCATTCCCTAGTTTTTGTGCATTATATAATTTCCCTTATCTGTTTATAAAATGCTGATATTTATGGAATGTTGAGCATGTATGCAGTTTTCTTTTCATATTTCACCATTCCAGTAATTGGGCTTTTTTCATTCGAAAATTAAGCCATAATAATCACATTCATTTTTTTTATATTTCTGTATTTTTGTAAATTTTGTATCACACTTGTATTGCGCTCCTCGATGATCAGTGCTTCATTGCGGACTTTTATTATTTATTGCAATCATATGGCACCATCGCATATTATTTTTTTATCCGTCAATTCATTGTGCTCTAATTTTTCATTTACTTTTCTTCGATGGTCCTGATTTGTCTTTTCCTTTCAAGTTTTACCAAATAAATTGTGGAATCAAAATTTCTTCTCAACATGAAAATATTTTATATACTCGATATGCTTTCCATCTTTATGTTAGCAGTTGGGAGTAAAACTGCTAGCTATTATTTGAAGCAAGCAGGATGGTGCTGAAAGAGAATGATTTCTAGTGATTATTGATTATCGATGAAGTGATCATTTGCTAGAGCATTGTGAAGATGAATTTGAAGGCAAGAATTTAGATTATTTTGAGATAGAGTAGATAGGGGTGGACATATTGTTAAGACTGATTTAGTAGGATCTACAAACATTGCTGCACGTGGACAAGTCTATTGTAAGGATAAAATAAGAGTGTAAAATAAAAGTGGTTGGGTACAAAAATGTAAATAATTAAAGTTATGGCGTCAGCTACAATTTATAAATGAGCAAAATGGTGATCAACGAATAAACCATCCAAATTCAATCTATATTTGTGCATTTTTGTGGTAAATGATGAGAGAATTATGTACGATCAGATCATGAATATCGTCATCGATGTTATCGGTATACCATCTGGGATACCGTAGTGTTTGCGATTAAAACGGTATTTCTTAGTCTTGGTGGGATTAATTTGCCATAAGAAATATGGTAGATATTTTGTTTTTATGATAAGTTAACGATTAATGGGGGAATATGCAGTACATACTGGGTACTTACTATAAGAGGATGAGAGATATTTTGTGGAATCATCATGATATCTGCTGCTCTAGTCATCTAGAGTTTTTGTGTTGATTATTTTCATTAGCTATGAATTTGTTATTGATATTATTAATTGTAGAATCTGCAATGAAGTGAAGTCAATCTTAGAGATATTTGTAGTGAAATAAGTATATCTTTAATAAATTTGCTAATCTCCATAGATGAAAGGTATTTGTAATGTCCATCCATTTTACGGATTTTTTACTTTTTAATTTTTGATTACATTATGAAAAAAAACAAAAATTTTTTCAGTCCTTCTTTATCAGTAATTTCTGTATTTGCTTAATTCTAAACTGATCAATAAAAATTTAGAAATTAATTTCCAGAAATACAAATTTCCTGGAAACTAAAAAATAACACGTGTGGTAAACCGTTTGAACGTGTACTAAATCGTTTGTACGTATAACAAATTGTTTGCAAAGAATTGTAGTTGCAGCAGATAAAAGGATAAACTGAAATCGCTACAAGACAGATTCCTGTCGTAATTTTCGATGCTGTCTTTCCTTACTCTGAGATAATCTCATGCTATTTATCTACTTGGAAGAAAGCATAACATGTTTGACTATAAGAAGAAGTCAAAAAAGTAGTATGCAATTTCTGACTATTTATTGCATATTAATGAGATTAAGAAGCAAATTTATTAAGTAAAAATTACAATTGTAACTTTTAGTTAACATTATAAACTTCACATTTGTGGATCATATGAAAATGATCACAGATCGCTATTAATCAATTTCTGAATATTTAATTAGCAATTAAGTTTGATTATTGTTTCAAGTTTTAATTGAAATTCATTCAAGTGATTCAAATTTTAAGTTTGCGTTTAGTTAATTAATTTTGCAGTATTTGGCTAACAGTATTTTATATATAATTGATGATAATAATATATGTAATTTCTTATTTTCAATTCAGTTCATTATCAATAATTATAGTCTCAGAAGAAAGATTTTTAATATTTAATGGAAAAACTTTTCTATTTACATTTAAAAATTATTTACAAATACTTTTTAAAAAAATTATATACTCTTTTGAACGGTTTGTGAAAGTAACATTCAGCTAAGCAACAGTTTAACCATCACTAAAAGTCAACTGTATATCTGTGCGCAGTATTCAAATTAAAAGTTTTACACAGAGTAAAACATTTATACAAATAATTCATTGCTTTTAATGTTGCTACACTTTACTATTTTACTTTATTTTATTACTTACTGTTATAATTATCAACTTTATGATATTATTTTTTTAAATAATAATAATTGCTTTTCACTGCAAACTATAAATTTAGTATAAAAATACTAATACCAGTAAGTAAATTATGTATGTAAAATTAAAAAATCGCAAAATTATTTTGCTTTTTATTTGCAAGATGGATTCTTGTAGATTTATTTCTGAAATCATTTTTACATTTTCAAATACTGTATTCATCCATAACGCACTTTACTGGCCCACGTAATTCGTTTGCCAAATCTCAATTGGCTTGCCCAACGTTTGAAGCGTGGATCATCATAAATCTAAAAATTTTTTAACATAATTACTGTTGGTAATCTTTGACCTTTTGAAATTTCAAGATTAAAATTATAGATATATCATTCAAAATTTTTTTTGGCATATGGTTATCAATTTACTATTGCCACTAATAATTTGTCATTATAGCAAAAATGACCAGTGAATTAATTTTGGTCATTAAAATCAAATTATGAAAGCAGGAAAATTAAAAGCTAAATAAAAATGAAAAAAAATTAGTGTTAATATTATGAATGTGATATTTTTGATGGAACTGAAAACTGAAGTAAGCATTCTATAAAGGTCACCAAGTTAAGTATTTCTTGTGGTCGTTCATCTGTCACTTCCATGTAAGGCAATATTTCTTGCCTAAATCCATGT